ACCGAGGGACGCCTCGGTGCTGTCCCAGTACCGCGGAGCAGGGATGAGAACATCGGCCTGAAGCCTCGGGACACCAGGTAGGTGACAGCCCTGAGCCGCCCGCAGCTTGCTCGGTGATGTGCACCCAGTGCCGGCTGCTTTCCGGGGATTTCGGGGGGCTGGTTCCCAAGGAGACTGAATGGAGCAGCAGCAGCAGCAGCAGTGGGTGATGCTGGTTCCAGCAGGGAAGGGTTGGAATTCAGCAGGTGGAAATCCCAGCAGATGGTGATTCCAGCGTGTGGTGATGCTGTCAGGGAAGCGGTGGATTCGTTGTCCTTGGAAATGTTCACAAACCACTTGGGGACATGGGTTAGTGGTGGGTTTGGCAGTGCTGGGGGAATGGTTGGACTCTTAGAGGTTTTCTCCATTCCATGCTGTAGGCCGTCTGCTTTGCACAGGAATCACAGCCCTCCTCTCCTGGTGTGGGCAGAGACAAAGGCTGCACTCTGTCCCTCCTGCAGCCTTGGATAGCAAGTGAGACCTGGCTGCTGGGAAGTTGGACCTGGAAATGAAAATGAAAGTGAAACTCTTCTGGAAGTGGCAGGATAAAGGGCAGCATGGGAGCATCAAAAATCCAGGCAAAAAATTCAGAAAAAATCCAGGCAAAGCACACTGGGATGCACTTGGATGTTCCCAGGAAAGGATCCCTGTGCTCCTGTAGGAGGCAGGGAGATGCACTGAGTGCAAAGGGCCAGTGGTTATTTCAGTCCCATAATTGCAGGCTCATCCCAAAACTCTGGAGAAGCATCTCACTGTTATTCCAATTCCAGATGCTGGGGAATTGCAGCTCTATCATTCTACTCAAATCAGTTGTGTCCAAGAACTTGCCTTTGGAAAATTTGAAAGGATTTGGGTTGAGCTCTGTGCCAGCTAACTGGGTGGTGATAATGAACCTGTGATAATTATCATGGGGTTGTGATGACCTTGTTGGCTGTGTAGGACAAGTCTGGAGCAAGGAAAGGACGTGGATAGTGAAAAATATGAAAAGTTAATATAATTCCAGGCAAGGAATCATGGGTTGGGTTGGAAGGGACCTTAAAACTCATCCAGTTCCACCCCTGCCATGGCAGGGACACCT